TACTACTACTGCTACTATACTACTACTGCTACTGTACTACTACTGCTACTATACTACTACTGCTACTATACTACTACTGCTAACCATTGCACTGAATACTTACGTTTGACTTTGACAAATGCATAAGCGCTGACTCTTCCCATAAAGTTATCAGCAATACAGGTATAATTCCCAGATCTCTGTATTCGGCTTATAACCAAGTATCCATCGGCTCCTCCAGATATTCTCCTACCATCTACTTCCCAGACTATGGCAGGTTTAGGAAGGCCAGTGGCTGAACAGTTGAGGTAGACATCGCTGTCAGGATTGACTGTTTGGTCCAGAGGACGAACAACGAATTGTGGGGCTCTTCGGACCTCTGAAAATAAATGATAGATCATTTGAATCTAGAACTAGAAATCCGGAATGCGGAACTTGGAATTCAAGATGTGGAATTTGGAATCAAGGGTGCAAAATTTGTAATTCAAGATGCGAAATCCGGAATGCAAGACGCGAAATCCGAAATCAAGGATGCGAAATCAAGAAACCGAGATTCGAAATTTATAATTCAAAATACGAAATCTAGAATCCACGGTACGAAATCCAGAATGAAACATGCAAAAACTGGAATCAATGATACGAAATCCGGAATGCAAGATTCGAAATTTAAAAACCAAGATGAAAAATTTGGRATCTAAGCTACGTAATCTGGAATGACACCCATCGTTCCAGCTTCCCTAACACATATAGGGTCTGGAAGGGTATTCGGGGGAGCCTGGAAACGGATTAARTATAGCCAGCGCGGGATCCGGGAAACTAGATATTTTTACATAATTCGGGATATTGGTATCGGYCGTGGCTCGGGAATTGCCAAATTTAATGTCCGGGATGTGGAATTTTAGCTTTCTGATTTTTATTTATTTATTTATTTTGTTTTTCTGTTTCCCCCTGATTTTTGATTTTTCGAGGGATGCGGAATTTCGGAGAAAAATAGCGCGTAATTGGGTTCGAGTTCCGGACCCCGCCCCCCGCCCCCCTCACACACACACACTTCCAGACCCTGAACACATAGCACCTCCCTACCTAATCCTCACCTCGTACAAAGAGTCTAGCCTCTCTCGAGATGACCATTCCTTCGCTGTTCTCAGCTACGCATGCGTAAGACCCTTTATCTGTCTTTTCCAGGTTTACAATGGTCAAGTCTCCACTTGCGCTGACTGAATACCTCTGGTTGGACAGATCTAGCGGGACTTTGTTCTGTARCCACATGATGGATGGCTTCGGCGTTCCGGTCACTGTGCACTGGAAAATAACTTTATTACCACTCCTCTTGAACTGGCTCCTTGGGGRCCTTCCTATTTGAGGGAATCCACTAGGTGTTGTTCCCGCTGTTGGTGGACGATAATACAAAATATTATTAATAGCAAAGTTTGTGTTAGGAAACTTCAGTCTTAGGAAACGTTTGATGGGTAGAGACAGCTAATGGGAGGAATGGAAGGATTTTGGTAGATAGTTTCATATGTAGGTAGGTAGGCAGGCAGGCAGGCAGGTAGGTCTGTAAGTATATCGGTAGGTTGGGAGTTCAGTTTGTGTGAAAGTATGTAGATAGTTAGGAAGGTAGGACGTGTAGGTGGTTGGATGGGTAGGTGGAATGAGTATTTATACCTTGATATACGYGTAGTATCGCCGACGAATCCGACACAACAGGTCCCACACCATTGGCAGCCTCACACCTATACGTTCCCTGGTGTCTCTGCTTCAAAGGCCCAATCCTTATAAACCATCCATGCAGGATCTTGAACTTATATATCCTAGAGTTCGTAACTTTGACCTCRTCCTTGAATAACGTGATATTCGGTCTTGGAATCCCTGTGGTGTTACATAACATGTACACCATTCCCTTCTCCACTCCCCTGACATTTTTCGGCGTAAGGCTCACAGTTGGTGCTAAAAAGAAACAAATACTTTTATTATTATTCTCCTTTATACTCCCCGATCTAACGCAGCATGGTTTATACTCTAATATTTTATGGAGAAATGCCGGTAAAAAATAACTCGAAATGCCAGAGAAATTTTGCTTCAATCTGTTTTTGGTTTTTTGATGTTGGTATATTTGGGTCGGAAAAAATCATTTCGTTGCAGTGTTATCTAATAAGCTATTTTAAGAGCGTAATACAGACTTTATTTTATCTGTTGTACTTCAATGATATCGAGGAAACAGTAGTTCTTATTTATTTACTTTTTTTTTTCTTGCTTGAGCGAGCTATAATTAACTTTTCTGGGGTTCATACGAACGCGGCAAACAGCGAAAAAAAAAAAAAAAAGAGATTAAATTTCGGTTAACCAAGTTTTATCGCATTTCCAGGTTCTTTTATAACCCTGTTATCATAATAGGAATGCATATATATATATATATATATATATATATATATATATAGATAGATAGATAGATAGATATATATACCAGGGTCTTTGATCTTAAACTGGTATAAAAGATCCTTCCGGGAAAAAAGTGGTTCATGTGGGGTCGCATAGGTCGGAAACCACAATCCCAATTACAACACATCTCCATAAAATCGGCGCCGAACGAAGCAATTACCKTTCTCCAAGGATTATTTGAAGGAGGAAAGCAGAAAATTAATGGAATTTGGAAGTAAAGGCAGATAAAAACTTCTCAAATGTTCATATACTTAGGACTTTTAGTCGTCTAAAATACTACGGCACTCAGAAAAGATTAACAGATTGGAATCATTATCAGATTGTCTAACAATGCGGTCTAGATTCTAATTGTTCTTTAATGGACTTCGGCTAAAACGATATTAAAAAAAAAAAAAACGAATCCAAATGTTGAAACACAATCTGCGATTGTTTAATGCCTGGAAATATTRGACTTAGTGTTAAAAAAAGGTTTTTAAAGCAAGCTTATTGTCTGTCGGAAAAGGCAAAACAGCGCCAAAGTTCTAAGGATTATTATTTTAGTTTTTAGTTTCCGCGACTTGTGTTCTCCGTTTTAGAGGTACATCAAAGCTTAATTCCAATCATAGCTCTTTAGGATGCTCAGAATTCTGAGATAAAAATTTGGTCTATGAAAAAATATGAAATATGTAGCTCGAAGTCAAGTTGAACGACGATTGACAAGAGAGTAAAACGATACGTGACCGCAGAAAACCACTTCATGAGCGAATAACAACCCRCTATTACTATTGGGTAAATGTTGACTCGGAATTTATGAGCTAAGGGCTCTATGAACTAACTTTTTCATCTATGCAAACGTGGTTTATCAGTGAAAAGATTAAAAGTATGATAGGTACGATAAATAATCATATAAAAAAATTAGAATCTTTAGATGATTAATTTAAGGATTGGCAAAATTGAATGAGAAAAGTGTTTTAATGGTTTTTCTTGCAATGCGCATCCCTCTTTGCTATGTTGAGCAGAACTAAAAAAATATCATCTTTACTTAACATGAARTAAAACATTCTTGAAACTATAGCGAAACAGTCTTACAAAATATAAATAATCTTTTATTTTTACTATAAATTTCTTCTCGAACAAAGAAAGGTCGAACTTTTGAAAAGCATCTTCATTTGTCCACGTGCCAACGGTGCAGCGCGAATAATTGCCAAAATATTTAGTCTGATAAGAACGATCGGTAACTAAAGAGGATGGGTTATCAAAAGCCATCTCTCTCGTTTGCCTGTGGCTTCTAGTGGTATTCAAAAGGGTGACAAAAAGAGCGTCCGAAAAACTTTTCTTTACTGGTGGCGATATTTGTTCGATAAAATTCCCTAACACATTTCCATTTTGTTTTACAGAGTACTTACAAACCAAATAATGAAAAGCAACATCGTACTATATTAAACAATTTCTTAAACATCCGTTTCGAATGAGTAAAATTGACTATAAATGWAAGTAAAAGCTGAATTGAATTCAGGTGCCAGCCCGCGAGAGTTAGAGATGCTCATTGATAGCCTGGATATCAAAAGGACCTCATGAAATTTTTTTTTTTTTCGCTTTATAAAAGCTTCGCATGATCTCTGCAGGTGTCTGCAGTGTCTTAAGTGTTTTACATCTCTTATTAACTAATGCCATATGTAGTTTTTAATTAAATGAAACTTTGTTTTTATAAGGGGTTTTCAAATACAATATTTCTTGAGTGATGAATCATTTGCATTTATTCTCTTGGACTTTTTATCAAAATGTTGCACCCAAATGGTGTTGGCTTAATATGATTTTACATTAGGTACCTTATTTCCTTACAAAGAATAATCTAATATGTACCTCTAAACTGTTAATTTATTAGAAGATAATATAGGTAAGTTGTAGTGCTTGGGAACGAGGTTATTCCGGGCGAAAGCTCTCATCTTTGCATCATAATTACCGCAACCTAACATCTATTTCACCCCGGCCTGCTCTCAGTCTGACCTCTAGCTCAGCTGGTAGAGCATCGGTAGTACAATTCCGAAGGTCGTGGGTTCGATTCCCAGCGAGGTCGGAAATTAATTTTTCCGAATTTAATTCCAAGGGCTTTCGCCCGGAATAACCTCGTTCCCAAGCACTACAACTTACCTATATTATCTTCTACTATTTCATTAGTGCCACGCGGTCCACATACTATCATCTTTGTTAATTTATTAATAAATTTATGTTTTATATTTCAATCCTAACAATTTGGCAAGTTAATTGAAATTTGGATATAACTATTAGCTGAAGTATTTATAGCATACTGGATTATCAATCTGTTCAAATCGATCTTTTCACACATTCTCGCTATTACATTCTTATATTATTATCTTTATTTAATTTCTGGTTTATATCTAACATAGCAAATTGTTCTTTGAATTCTTAAAATGTTGAAAATAAGAGATAGCAGAAAAGCAAAGATCTAGATGCATGAGGGCAGGATAAAAGATCAGAAACGTTGTGCCAAAAAGACAGATAGACGTAATAAAAAACATGTACTTCGTATGTACGTAAAATAACCAATAATTAAAGAAGAAATAAGAGGAAAGTAAGGCTTCAAAGGAATCTATCTATATTAATTTTTGTAAAAGTGGACAAAAGATGCAGTTGATACAATTCAACATTTCATCATAGTTACTTATTTACTATGATTTCATTAAAAGAAACCTATATTTATAACCAAACTCTAGTTTAAGGATTAATTTAGTTAAATCCTCTTTTTTTAATTGGTATAGTACATAGGATTCTTGCGGTATTTCGACACACCAATATACAGCCCTAAATTGAATATATAAACACAAACGCCTATTATAAGCTTTGCTATGGTTCATGCATTGCTAGACCTAAATCACGTGCACTAAAGAGTCACTCCTAATGATGTCATAATAACAATCTAGAGGCCATATTTCAACTTCTTTATCAAAAATGAATAATGAATCATTACTATTCTCTGGTTTTGTGTTGTTTGTAGATAGGACAGATGATATTTTGTTGAAAAAAGAGGGCGAAAAGACACAAGGTCACATWTTTGCTTCGTGCCTTTTTGTTGGATTACGGGAACACTTCGGGATCCCTTCCGGTGAAATCAGAGCCTTAGAATGTATGAACTTTCTAAGAGGTTGTCATACATTTTAAGGTAAACTACGAGCTATTTCTGCACTTAAGGCTCATACTTTTATCGTCTATTTATTTTCATAAACCGTATTTTCTCGTGTGTGACATGAGAGATGATGTTTTCGTCATGAGCGCAAACTCCGGTTCTAGAAATCTAATATCACGCAGAGAAAACTGTAAGATCGGGTGACGTCTGCCAAGCCAAAAATAAGCAGACTCAAACTATAAAATACATCTGATATTTTGAACCTAAAGTCAAAATATCGCTTAAATTGTAAACAATTTYGATTTATAATCATATGCATAAGCTATGCTTGATGGATGTTCGGCAAGAAAACAAAAAATCTCACGCAATAAGGTTCAATTCAAAACTTAGAAACTGCCAAAGTTTAATCTTCTAGAGTTTCGTAATTCTCTCTCAGTTTATCGTATCCGAATTCTCTCTCAGTTTATCGTATCCGAACCCAAATATCTTTCAGAGCGAATTAAAAGAATTCCAGTGGTCGAAGTTAAAGAAGAAGTCCACTCGAAGTTAGTTAACTCGCGACGAAAATTGAAATTTAGTTAACATATGCTTGCGACCTAACGCAAGGAAAGCTTCGAGTGATTTTTAACCCGGTTTAAATTTCAAATACTTTGTTGACTGAAGACAGCTAAAAATCCATATGAAAAGCCAAATAGCAAATCCATGAGCTTAAAAAGCARCCCATTATTGGTCATTAGCTGTGGTTTGCAATTATAACAACAACAGCCAAAAGACGAAGTGTTTGAATATTAATCACAATTGTACACACATCATGCTCATTTGCTAACAGCAGAAAATCAAAGACTTGCTTCTATATAGAAGAATTCGTATTCAAACTACTTTACAATTGATTGGCAAAACTAGATATTATAAAGTAGAGCAAACGCATGTAAAACAAGCGACTCTTTCTGCTAATCTGGTCTAGAATGATAGCAGTACGCGCTTTGCGGAGCCATAGTACAGTATTTTGCTTTATAACTTTATCTAGTTGATTCTAACTACTTCAACATTTATTCTCAGGGCGAATAACTTCTAAATTGAATACTAGTCAAGAATTATAAGTTAGCTTCAAAACTTTATTGTTAAATGACGATCAAAATCCAAAATCGATCCAATCTGGTAGCACAAACTGACAAAAAGCCGCGGCTAYATTAGCCAGCTTTTTAGGAAGTTTGAGTGCGAAAAGCGGAAGTCATTCTGCTCTAAATATTACTCTTCTGTGTAAAYATAAAAAGAAATATTGCGTACCTTTTCTAATCGAATTTGTCTGTGCGATGTAAGCGATTAGTACAACGGCCACGAGTTGCAAGGCGAGCCCCATGTTTGTTTCGTGTTGTACGTTTCTTGTATAGTAGATTTCTATCTCAAGTCAAGTTTGTTATTCTCACAACCATGTACATTAAATGCACCATTTTCACATCCTAAACGGTCTCCATGTCAACCTCTTGATAATCCAATCCCAATACTGAATAGCCAAACCTGTGAAATCAACTCTACGTTATYAAAAAGTTCAGAAAACCTTTGTCGTTTGGTGTTACTTGAGATAGTTTGGGTTAGAAATTTTCGGTCGGTGAGTGGTCACACGTGATCGATCTGTGAAGCAGTCAAGCGTTTAGTGACGCCTGACAATTTGATTGACATATTTTCGAACCAATTCAAGAACAATCGCATTCCAATCGTTGACGAGGATTAAGGGATAGTACTTTTCATTCAATAATATCAACAATTATCATACTACCATAATTTGCAATGGCTCAATTGGTTCTGAATGTATAGTCTGTGAGGTATATGAAATCTACGCGTTGTCCAACAATAGCAGAAAGCCTGACACTTCGACACAAAGATCGATGGATGCAGCCTTGACCTTCGTTTTTATTCTCGGAGTAAAAAAGAGCTTGTAAATTAAGAAAGAAGGATGTAAGCTAGCCAATTTTCTCGTTATTAAGGAATGTTAGAAGGAACTTGTAGCTTTTGAGCTGCAAGAAAGATAGATTTTCCGCGCCAAAAACTGACTGAACTCCGGCTTACATAGTGTACATCAGTCTAGAGGCTAATGAGCTGTACAAATGTTTTGACACAAGCACTTCCTCTGACTCGAGAATATACTTTAGTAAGACAAACGAGCTTATCGTTGTTATCGATGCTAGCTTTAAACACCACACGTCGCTTACTAATAAAGCAACAGTACTCCACTTGTTTACTCCTGGTTGCTATGGCAACTACCTCTATGTCAACATGATTGACAGTAGCATTTCTGTTCTACAAAGAAGCTAAATTGTTTTTGAAATAAGAGGTTAGAATATTGTCACGGCGATTCCAGGTAGATCTTTGTTTTTAAGAAGTAAAGATAATAGTTCTAGATCAAGGCCGAGAGGGTTGGAGCTTGTGGGCGGGGGAGATTACGTATACAATACCCCTCCTACTCACAATCCCCTGGTTACACTGTATTACAATAAGTACCCTGATGGTCGCACTCCAGGACACAGAAATGAGAAAGTTGTTAAAGCATAATTCAATTCTTTGGTTTTTAATAAAAAAATATTCATTTTTTCCGGTAAACGTTTTGGGAAAGTTGGAAGAGGCTACTGACGCCACTTTTGCCACAGTGACTGATATGATGAGCTTACGAAGATCGTGAAATCTCTTTAGAGAACCATAATTAAATGACATAAAAATATCAAAAGACCTTGTTTACATCTTTTGCTCAATATGAATTAACGTTCAATTTTCAGCCAATAAACAGTATTTAACACTCACCATGCAGTGATAGAAACAGTACGCAGCTTAATAGGATCTTTTCAGACGAGATCGGTCATGAGTCCGGCAAACTTCTGTCAAAATCATTCAATCCTTGCTTGACTAAAAGACTAGCAAACAAAAGTAGAAAGAAAAGAGCAAAAACACGATGGGAGAATAGAWTTAGACAAGTAATCAAGATTAAAAATCTACGAACCTTTTCGTTTCACTCGTGAACGGCCTGCTTGCTCCACTACTAATCGATCGCAACACGCGAAATCTTTTATAAGGTACTTAATTTATGAATCATGATCGTGTCAAAGTTTCGCTGCCGTGGTTTTGTCGCCTCTTAMGACACCAAGGCGTCAACAAACAGGCTGAAGGTAGTGAATGAGCAACAGATACCACTCCCACAACCATCATGAACACATCACTGAATGGCTCTTATACCTATGCCTTAGGCCTGTATAGATGCCCAGAAAAAGAAAACGACTACAATAGAATGGAATCTGACTGGTTCTCTCATGGCCAAATCGAGTACTGTTTTGCAGCGGTCCTTCTTTTATAGGAATAAAGAGGAAGAGATGGATCGAAAAAAACTAAGAAAGAATTAAAATATAGACGGGGCAGGAGAAAGAAAAAGAAAAGCTGGGTATAGCTAGCTGTAACAGCAGAAGCCAGGAAAAAACATTCACGACAACTWAAAGCGAAGAGCACGAATGAAGGAACGAGTACGGAAATCATTTGGTCGTGAGACACCATCAACAAGCGAGAGCAGTGTCTCCCTGCGTTCACYCCAAATGTTTGCAACTTGGGTAAAGTCTGCATAGCATGGGAAAATAGCAATCCCAATTTTCTAGCTGGAAAGTTAAACGTAGCAACAACAAGATTGCTAACTTTTAGGAAAGTTAAATTAAAAACTATTGATAAAATTGAGATTTATCTCACTCAATTCAGCTTCTAAATAAACAGTGATGTTTGAAGAAGTTCAACAACCACGCCGTACTGGGGGTATTGTAAACTGGACTCACCTGAAGACTAAATAATGAAGACAAAAAGACGACACAAAAGAAGACAGCGTCCCTTGGTTTGGCAGCTCTAAACTGAGAGGTCTGAAATCARTATCCGTCATTACACAAAGTGTGGTAAAAATGAGCTAAAGTTAACATCGCAAAATATGAGCTTCTCAACGTTTTATAAAGCTTTTGAAAAGAGTCACTCCGCTAGATAGGATCGACATCATGGGAACATCGTTTGAACATTGTTCACCGCTAAAAGAATTACGAAGTTTATAATAGCAAAGACTTGCATGATGAAGCATCAGTCCAGTTTAGCCGTGTTCCAGCGTAGGTTTTTATTTTTCTTACATGTGACAAAAACCGGTGGAAATGATAATGTCAAGATGTTACCAGCCAGCCACATGCAACTACAACGACCGGCAGCAAAAAAACACGCTACAAGCTGATTCTAAGAAAATTAAACAGCCGATAAACGGCGGATAAAACTAAATAACAGGGCTGTTCAAAACCATGTAGTTTATCAATAGAAACACAGAAAGCTCTTTATGATAAATTAGGTGTGGTGTAATTCCTACATTCAAGTGTTTAGACAGACTTTTTTTGCGATATTGGCGCTGCCATGGAAGACGAACAGTCGCCGTGTGCTTATTGTTTGTGTTTTATGTTGACATAGAACAAAACTTACCGCAATGTATTGGTTGTAGTATAAGTGAAGTTTTGTAAGAGAGGAAGTCGTGAACAATTATTTACTATGAACGTTTGCTTTGTTAGCACGTGAAAAAGCGTCCGCTCTACTTTAGTTTTGCGTTTTTATTGTTACTGTATTTCTCCTGATCAATTTAATTGGGAGCGACGCGCGCTCGAAAGTCGAGCTTTTTTTWAATTTTAAGCTGTTTATCTTTCTCAACATAAAATCCAACACAAAGCAAACGAAATGAAACAATAAAAACGATAAGGTAATCAGGAATTTAAGAATACGAAAAACCAAACAAAAACTGAACTCACAGCTAACATAACAGAAACATGAATTATTTATGTAAACACTTTGCTTATCGAAATCGAAGCATTTGGTCATATATCCTATTATATTTCCGGCAATTCTGTAAAGATAAAAGTGCTCAAAGCCCCTCCTTTGTATATTTTAAGTACAGTGTTCATAGAAGAATACATTTCCGGATCTCTAACAAAATTAGGACTCCTCCTATTGTAGGGTCATGTATAGCTCCACCGAGGGCCCTACCCATCTTTATTGAAAATATAAAGWCGTATATCATTCGTGGTACATATTTCCGGATCTTTTCCAAAATTAGATTCCTCCTTGGGAATGGATCAGAGGTTGCTCTGGACAAAGCCCTGCCCATCATTTCGGGTCATTAATCACATGRCTAAACTGGCCGCCATTTTCACTTCCGATGTACTTCAGGATGTACACTGATTTTCCTGCATTCTGATTGGCTCAGAACGGAAGCCATTTGATAGTTACAGTAACATACGCTTCAAATTTATGCAAACATAAACGATAACAGTACAACGAAAAACGAATTCTTTAGTAATATTTGGTACCTATTTTTATATTGAAACTATCGAACCTTCAATACTTACCAAGTTAAGTTTAGTATTTCTACCTATATTTTTGTTAAAATAGTTTTAAGATATTCGGTCATTTATTATCGAGGCCAGATCACAGTGTGTGGTAATACTTTCAAGAGTAAAACAAGCATTAACAGATCTAGTGACATTTAAATTAATGACCTTGCAAGAGGCAGCCATCTTGGCCTGCCTGTATATCGTGAGAAACATACTTGAGAGCTAAACTAGGTAAATCTCTCACGACTCTCTCGCGGAAATGGCAGAAAAGGTTGCCCTGTGCAAACCGAGTACTGCATAGATGGAGCCCTCGCATTACGTAAGGGGAGTCTTCTAGAAGTTAAAATCAGGTAAAACAAACAACTTTTTTGAATATTTTGCGCGATGTAGCCAATATTAGTAYCCTATTTTATCACATCTAAATATAGAATACTTTTCATAGTGTTAACTTACTTTCAATGTGAAAATAACATTTGTATTCGCAAGAACCTTTCTCAAGTATCTTATCCACTTAAAAAAAGAAATTGGAAACTAAGTAAAACGTGTTTCCTTCATTCAAAAGTTCCCATAATGGAGTAAAACTGTATTGGAGGTGTATGTCACTGCTGTATTTGGTTGAACGAATGTACGTCTGTATGACCAACGGACTGTTTTATGTGCCTGTGGCTATGAAAAGATGCTTCTAAAAGTTTATTTTTAGCAAAGCGCGGGTAGAAACGATGGAAGTAGTCGAGCGACGGTGAAAACGAGAGAGAAACAACTACTTTAAAAAATGGGCGATACAACTTAAATTATCTATATATGCATGGAAAAAGAGTAGCACTTAATTTTGTAGAGTAGCAAATTGGCGTTTGACAAAAGTAAATGACAAAATTGATATAAAACACTTCATTCATGACATATTGTATTCTTTTTACTTTCGACATGAAGAGTTTTCGAAATCTTAATGAAGGCATGTCAGCGACAGCCATAAAAGGCAACGACGCATTTTGTCATTTATTAGAAAACAAAACAACAACAAAAAAAAAAAAAAAAAAAAAAAAAMAAAAAAAAAARAAATTTCAATTAATGTATGTAATTGTCATTGAAAAAAGATTTCATACAAGATTGAAATTTTTTTAGGTATTGTGACTTTTAAAGGGCTTTCGAGTTCCAGGACTTCTGATTGGATGTTGAGCATTTTGTTGGCTTTTGATTGGTTTATAGCGAAAGCCATATGAGTGTCGAACCATTGGTCTGTTTTTCTTCTTTTATTTTCACGACCGAAAATATTCAATTCTTTAATTTATTTTAAGTAACTTACGGCAGAAAAATTAATGGATTGTTTAAAGAAAATTGTTATCGCTAGCCTTAGTTTAAAATATATTATTACAAAAATTCAAAGATAGATAAATTCAATGTTTTCACTTTTTTACGCGAAGTTTCGCTAATCCTCTCAATTCCATCGAGCGCGATGAATTTTCTTGAAGTTTTTCTAGCTGTTTCTTAGTCTTCCTTTCCTTTCCCTAAGCTGTTTTGACAGTTGGTTGTTATAAATTATTCATTTTTCGATGACTAAACACAAACAAATCCCACGCGATATGCTCCACTTGCACAAAATAAAGCAACCCATTTATCATATGACCTAAATGATAATCTAATTCAAACGAATGACTAACTTTCTTGGCAAAGCTACAACTTTAAAAACTTCCCTAAATTAAGTCATTTTCCTTGTACGACTTTGTTTCCTCTTTTATCCTTTGACTTATTTTCAAGTTATAACTAAAATATTTTTCGCGATGATTTTTAACTGTCCGACGTAACGTTTTTGGTTGAGTTAATGACTGAAAATGCGTTTCTATTTGAATACATTTGTATACTTTTATTGTCTTTTATTATTATTCTTTATACAATTAAAAAGTACTATCGCTTTTAAGTTTTATGAGCACATAAAATTATAAATTAGAGTTTGTTTATATTATTTTTGTGAATTTTTTTTGACATTGTTTTTTTTTTTTCTTCAGTTGCTGATACAGTTGGTGGCTTTTCATTGTCAGTTTTTTATTGTGGTTTCAGCATTGTCCTTTTGTTTAACGCAGTGTAGATTTTATAAGATAAACGTACGAAGCTCGAGGCGTTTTTAAGACTGAACAATTGTGTATTCATTGTAAGTTATTGTTTTGACGATATTTGGTTGTGAAGAGATCTTTGTGCTTTGATCCTATCCATAGGGAATAATAGTGTACAGAGTATAACACCAACGTGTCAATGATACCCTATTCAACTCATACTAAATCCCAACCCTCACAACAACAACAACAAAAAAACACCTATTCATTTTCCCCAACTCATTTTGACAACATACTACCCCACTAACACCCAAACCCCTCCCAAAATGACACCTATCTTAGACTTACCAATTGCCCTATTTCACTATGACGTCATTGCTTGTTTATGTGAGGGATAGAATCGCCAAATCCAATAGAAAATTCAACAAAATTTTCTCCTAGCGAAACAGTTTAATCTAAAATGGCCTGGTTTTCAGATATAATATGCGTTAATATGTACTAAAAATATTCTGCGTTTGCTGGCTATTCTACTTCTCTTCATGGATTGATACGGGTTTTAGAACAATTTTCGGTGAATTTGCGTTGATTTTACCCCGTCCGACGACCATGATCCTTTGCGTTTAAACGATCGATAGTTGAAGATTGTTTTGATGTGACGTCATAGTGAAAAAGGGCAATTATAATAGCACTATCCAACTCAACTAAAATGTCACAAGCTCTGCAAAAAAGACAGATGTCTCATACTTACCAACTAATACAAACCAATTATGCTCACCCAATCCCTTAAAAACCAGTGTTATACCTACAACTACTAATTACAATACTCAACCGACACTTTCCATCCTGATCGACCAACCTATACTCACCTTTTTGTAGTTTTTGGTAGTTTTTGTAATATTCGTATACTGAACTTACTAGAGATCAGCCTACCCACCATGATATCAAAACATATACTTATCTCATACTATTTACTACATATTTATTTTACCGGGATTTTATGAGCAACAGTTCAAGGCTCATTCACTTTACAATTCATTTTATTTCTTCTTTTTCTTTTGATTTTTCAGCAGTTCCAGCCCGCTGATGTACTTTTTGGGTATCTTGTAATCATCTGCAATGATATATAAATATTTAGTTTTTGTCGCTTTGTGTTGTGAACTCCCCAAATTCGAAGGGAGACTGGTAACTCGCCTGAAATCAAGGAGAATGTCGCGGTAGAGCACTTGCTGCTCGAGGGGCGGATCCGAGATTATTTCTAGGAGGTGGTGCACCATCAAGCATTTTCGTTTTAGGAGGGAGTGCACCCTTTGCTTACGAATTCAAACACCAACAATCCAGTAGATATCAGCTCATCTAGGGAGGGGGGAGGTTGCGCTCCCCCGGCACCCCTCCCCTAGATCCACCACAGCGCTCACCTCTAAGGTCTCGAGCTTGATTTTTGTCATCACATGTAAGTAGAGTTTTTGGGTCTCTCCCTTGATCAAGGGATTTTCTTCCTCCGCAGAACATAACAAGCTTAACTCCGATACAATCTGCCCTGACTTAGATCAGCCAAGAGTTTTTTCAGAGTTCGATAAATTACTTAAGACATAAAGGTAGTGCTTACCAAGTAAAGCTGTTGCAACAAGAGAGACTTGATTGCCTTGTACCATTACCTGCATACCAGGTGTCTTGTGTTTACCAGGAAGTTGGTTCACTGTTAGCAATGAACAACATATTATTAAAAATTGAAATGTTGCTGCCTGGAAAAGGTTTCACACTACTGGTCTACCACAGGTAGTCCAATTAAGAATATTTACATATTAACATTGCCGTTTCCTTTTTCTCTTTTGCATTTCTGTTTTGTATTGTATTGAATTTTGTAATGAGCGTGAAACGTGCAGAGATACACTTAATGGTTTTTGCTATGTAAACCAATTAACAGGCACGACAAGACTTGTCAGCCAATGAACACCGCTTGAATAACTTACATCACATGACATCTTAATGGCTTCCACTCTAAACCAATCAAAAAGCACGACAAGACTTGTCAGCCAATGAACACCGCTTAAATAACTCACAACACACGACATCTTAATGGCTTCCACTCTAAACCAATCAAAAACCACGAGACCTCAAACCAACCAACCAATTATCACGAGTTAACTTACCTGAAGTACTACATGCAGCTTTCAGCTGTATTTTATGAGCAAATTCTTGAGGTTCGATGCCGTAAGCATCCAGATTTCGAACCAGCGTAACCTGAAAAGAAAAAAAAAACGTCTCATTCTTATTAGCCATTCTGAGGTTGGGGGGAAAACTGGGTCGAGTTGGCATTGCAGTGCATTGTGGGGCTGTCTAGGGGCGAATTTCCAAGATGGCGTCCAATTCGTCCTCTAAAATAGACCCAAAATGCACTGCCAAGCCAACTCGACCCAACTTTTCCCTCAACCTCGGAATGGCTAATCCATCTACAAATTCCCAACTCAGTGGCACAATGTACGATTAGAACTTTCTTTTGGAGGGACGTTCACTCATGCCTTTTCTTCCCAGAAGGTAGGGGCGGGGGGTGGTGGAGAAGGCGGGAGTGATAAAACGTCGGCATGCAGGCTATCAAAATAAGTCTCAAAAACTCAGACATAATCAGTTGAAAGAGGTCTGAGAAGTGAGCGGAAACATAAAACTAGTTAGAAGATCTCTAGAAAAAAATTGACATTTTCCTTTGACGTTGACCGCCTTTCTTGAGGGTATTATAAATGTTTTGGCGCGAGTCGACTGACATTACCTCATCAGAGCATTGGCAACCAAACGCGTCATTCTCTGATGGCTTTTAATTAAATAGGCGGACGTCAAAACAAGAACCCCCGAGATAAGCCCCCCTGCGATATCCCTGACAAATTAAGGCTTTTGGCAAAGTATTAATGAGATCTCGGCTTTTGTTGGCATTACTTATTTTGATCCTAGGAAGAACTCAAATTGGCCACACGCACTGCTTAGATCGTATCTAACGAGTCGTTAGAAGATGACTATTTTCATTGTTTGGAAATTATTGCTGAAAAAAGAGCCTTAATCCTGAGGATAAATGTCATTTCTATGGCTTTGTTGTCTCGTATTTGACAAGTGAATATTAAGATGGAACTTAAACACCGTTTAAAAACGTTTTAATTGTACCGACGTCCGGACGTTACTTCTTCGTCGAAGTCTTATAAACTCTGCTCTTTTTCTCCTTTCCTCTATCACTCCGGCGAAGGAACAACGTCCGAAACGTCAATATAGTTGAAACTTTTTTGCACGGTGTTTAAGTTTAATTCTGATTCACTTGATGTATTTAACACCCCCTGCAGTCCAATATAGTTATCGCTAGCCATTATCATCGTCGTATTCTTTAATTTGCGATTGGTGTCAAGTTAACGGAACTGTGGGTGGTATTTGTGTAAATAGTGTTTTGATTCCTGCCGAAACAAGAAATGAAGAGCAACGAAAACAAAAACATGAGAAGAAAGACAGTGAGCAAAAGCAAACGAATGAATGAATGAACAAACGAAACACAAATAAACGAACAATAAAAAAAGCAAAGAAAAAAATATTAAAAAAAAAAAATTAACAAACAAACCAACGAACAGACAGACAGACAAACAAACAAACAAACAAAAAAACAAGCAAACAAACAAACAAACGAACGAATGACAAAGCGCTGACAAAAGGACTGGGCTATTGCCGTCATATGACCTCATTTCCGTGTATATCATGACAGTCTGCAGCGCATATCAACAGATATGAATATTTACCTTCTTGTTGCCCATTCGTTGCTCAATCTTGATTTCTAATGGATCAATTTTCCCCTTCCTGTTGAATCGAGTAAAATATCCTTGGTTTACTGTGGCCAATATTCTACGAACACAGCTAGTGATAGACTATGCACTGAAGTACACGTTAAAACATGCCGCACATGCAGTCACACGAGAAAGGGAGGCTTAGCGATAGTACACTCTCCTTTCACTTCTAGGGTCTGGGGTTCGATTCCTGGACTCCAAACATGCTAAATATTTGTGGGTTTGCCGTGCTTTGCATAGATTATCCCAGAGGTTGTTAGAGGGTTAAATCTGTAAGTAAGCCATAGCTTGACTTCGATCAGCCAAGAGCACAGGCAGCCCAAGCAATTAGCAAGGTATGTTCAAATAAAAATGATATATTTTTTCGTCCCATACATTTAATATAAATGATTTTATACACACCACACTTGGGCTGCCTGTGCCCAGAGGTCCTTTCAGTGTCGTGATAAAATTTGGAGGTCTTTTTTTTTTACCTTAACAAAGCTGACTGTCCAGGTAAAGTAATCTGGTAACAACTATTCATTTTATTCAAAACCCTGGTTTGAGAAAGAAGAGTAAGAAGCTAGACATTCATGTTGGGTGGGGTGGGGTGAGGTGAAGGTGACTGGTATCCCCTGGTTCCCTGGTAAGATACAAAAACACCTTCCCCTCCCCCCTAAGTAAATGACTGGTCTACCATCATATCACTGGTATCCCCCTGTACCAGATTCCTAGATCCTGAGTAAGATACAAAAACACCTTCCCCTCCCTCCCTAAGTAAATGACTGGTCTACCATCATATCACTGATATCACCATGTACCAGAGATTCCTAAATCCCTAGTAAGATACAAAAATGCCTCTCCCCCTCCCCCCCCTCTAAGTAAATGACTGGTCTACCATCATATCGTATTGTTCGTTTTCTGGTCCGGAATATTTTTTACCTTGTAAATAGATTTTCCCAATTTAAACTAGGAACGTCTTCATTTTTATTTACCAAAGCTTTTGTTAAGACTGGATCAAGAATAACCATCCTGCAATAGAATAAAGCATACATGTAGGTTACATCCAGTTTTATAAATATGCAGATGTCTTTTTTTGTTTTGTTTTGAGATTTGGATTTATTTGATTCTGCCATATTACACATGCTTTAAGGGATGTGTTTTGATTTTCAGTCAAAAACGTAGAGTGTATGAAGAGAAAACTTGTTAAAGACTAGCGTGAGCTGCGTCGGTGTTTCTAATGAAACACTAATGATAAAAAGGTAAAATATACACCGTGAAAACATGAAAAAATTACTGATGTTTCGAATGCTACTCCTTTGTCAGAGTAAAAGAGGAGCGTATGAAAAGAGCGTACAATTTCTGGAACTAGGCAAAGCATACATATACAAGTATTATTTCTTACCTTGGATTGTTTTTGTCCACTAATTCATTGGTTTTCGCATATTCAGTGACAAACTTCCTAGCCTCAGCAAGAGTGAAAACTGAACCTTTCCTTCAAAAATCAGCAAAACATAACTGAATTTGAGTAAAAAAATGATTTTATGAATAATCTTTGTTTAAAATAAATCAAAATGTTGGGATGGTGTTTCTGTTGAGGGTAGTGGTATTGTGCATGAAATGAAATACATCATCACAACCATCATCACGATCATCATCCCCACTACCATCATTGCCATCATCATCACTATCATTATCATCACCATCATCATCCCCATCATCATCCCCATTACCATCATTATCATATTCATCATCATCACTATCACTATCATCACCATCATCATCGCCATAATCCCAATTACCATCATCCTTATTACTATTTATCATCATCATCTTCATCACAATCATTATAATAATAATAATAATAATCACCATCACCATCATTATCATCACCATCATCATTACTATTTATCATCATCACCATAATCATTATCATAATGATAATCATCATCATCATAACCATCATTATTATCATCGTCACCATCATCATTACTATTTATCATCATCATCATCATCATATTGACACCTCTCCACAGGTACTTTGTTCTTTTACTATGGATTCTACATTAAAATGGTCAAAAGCTTAATTATAATAGTAATCACTTACTCATATCCAGCAGTGGCAAAAAGGTTTGCCAGACCACCTGACACTGATACCATCTCTTCTATTACAGGTCCCTTAGTATATGATAAGAGTTAAATACACTAGCTTTATTCATTGATCAAAGGTTATCATAATAATGAGTGTTCCTAAAATGTGTCAAGAGTCACTTTTTCTAACAATCAATTCATTTTAAGGTTTGAGTTTTTTTCTTTTTGTTTTTTTGTTTTGTTTTTTTGCAGCTCCGTCAATGTCATAATTACATATTTTGATACCTGTTGTTTGTTTGTTGAAACTGGTGCTGTTTTAATAGGTTTTGGAGGTAAGGAGTCTATTGATGTCTTGAAGGATTTCAATCTGGGAATGATGTGAAATGATATGAATATAAATTTTCTTAAATTCCCAATATAAAACTTATGAGGAAGAGCTACAAACAGCTACACAGACAAGGACAGAAAGTTACTTGACGTAAGAAATGTTATGTCAAAGTTATAAATTAACAGAAATGGATGGATGGATGGATGGATGGATGGATGGNATGGATGGATGGATGGATGGATGGATGGATGGATGGATGGATGGATGAAAATGGATGGATGATAAATGAATGAAGGATGAATGAATGAATGAATAAATAAATAAATGAATGAATGAAAATGGATGAATGAATGAATGAACAAATGAACAAACAAATGAATGAACAAATGAACAAATGAATGGATGTATGAATAAATGCATGTGAAAAATTATAAAAAAACACATAACATATAGTATTGACTCACTCCTCATGACTGAAATCCACAGCAATAACTGAATCAACCCCTTTAGACATCTCTTGTATTTTAATAACACCTCTTTCTTGCATTGATTGAAGAAATTTTGAAAGCTGAAAATCGGAAAAAATTAATAATGATTATATGAAAATACATTAAACGTCAAGCACAAATGTTTAGCACAATAAAAAATTTCACGATTTTTACAATTTCATACAAATGCTTTTACTGTTTCCTACACTTCTCACATGTTCTAAAGCATCCCACACGCTTTGATCAGAATTCCAAACAAAGGAAACTGTCTTTTAATATTTCTACAATTAATCACACCTAACTTACAATTTAAAAAATCATTAAACATAAATAAAAAGTTAAAAACATTAGTCCAAATAAAACATCCTTTCATCTGCCCATCTGCCAAAAGACCAAACATTTTAGTACTTTTGAGACTTTGATGCTTTACCAAGGTCAACTAACTAGTGGTTTGTTTGGTTGATGAATATTTTTGTAAGGAAACTCTAAAACTTGATTTCTGTTTTTAAATTCTGCATTTTAAGATATTTTTAATTTTGGAAAATCAGGAATTGTGTAGACAGGACCGCGGATCGTGGGTTGCAAAAAAAAATTTCATCACATTTCCAGCTTTTTGAAAGGGTATGGGTAATCTTAATGTATAGAAAATACATGCCCAAGCTCTAAAATTCAATCTATACTTCTCATTTTTGAATTTTGGGAGATCTTTTTATGTTGGAAAATCCAGAATGGAGTACAGGTAGATTGGACTGGACTTCAGTCAACTGGATCTTGCATTTTAAAAAGATTTGTTATGTTATGTTTTCTGACTGTTATTAAAGCAGTACCTTTTTGTAAGAAGACTTTTTTAAATCTAGGAACTTGCCATCAGGGCTACAAAGGAATTAAATATAAATCAATTAAAGTTTACTCGAATCTTTACTTAATACTATGCCTTCATAGTTTTCATACTAGCCTTCTGTTAGGTGACCTAGCAATTTGGTTTAATATTTAAGACCAATAAAGTGAAAAAACCCATTGAAATTGGGATGTTGAAATTGGATGTGTCAGCCTATGAAGACATTGAAAGGTTGTCCTTTTAAGAGCAGAGGAATAAATCAGAGAAGAGGAAGAAACAACAAAAACATTTAGGGTGAAGGAAGAAAATCATTAATCTGCGATCTAATTCATAATCTTTTAATAAGTTTTTTGTTTGTTCGTGGAGAAAGAAACTGAGGGAAAAAATAGGGAGGGAGAAAAATGGCATAAAAAATATGGAGGAGAATATTCAAATGCCTGTTCCATTTCGCTCTTCTAAAAGTGTGGAAAATTCTTTCGCAGTAAAGATTTCTATGGAAAAAAGGGCTAAATCTTTAATTGCATCAGAAGGTTTTGGTTGTACTTGTTTTTACAAAATGTTTAGATAAATAAGTTTTACTGTAGAACTTATAAGAGTAGTAAATATAATATTACCTGTATGGAAGCATATGATTCCTAAAGAAAGCACTTGTCAAAAGAGGTAAATCATTTTCTTTCAACCTCAACACTGCACAGAAGAAACAGTAGCCAAGTAGCTCATCCATCTCTTCTGCAATAAGAAAATAAAAATTTTGATAATAAATTTTTGCTAATGAAAACAATTTTGCCTCAGATTACAAAACCTAACAAGCTAAACTCCAATTCGCTCTGTGAGTTAGCCATGGCATGACACCTCCCCGGGGACGGGGGGGACTCTTGCTTGTTTAGGGTAGGGATGTGCCGCTGAGCCCTGACCCTGTTCCAGAGCAAGATCACTGAAAACCATACCCCCCTGGGGTACCTCTAATTATAAATATCTTGCTAAGAACTTTTGTAGAACCATCCCTGGAAGAAAAGGATACTCAGTAAACATACCTGAGGTTGTAGGGATAGTTGCCAGATTATCTTCAATTGCTTGGCTGTTCTCATGTTTATTTGTTGAATGATCCAGTACATTACAGTTGCTTGCACACGCTTCATCTACAGTATGTATTACAAAGAAGAAAGTATGTTAAGAACATTGAACATCTATGTTGTGAATACGATCTGCATTGCCATTAAATATCATAGGTGACATGGATGGTCTACTATGCCATTAAGGCACCATCCTCTCACCCATGCAAAACTTGTGGCAAGTGGCCCATGTTCGAGTCCTAGCCATCCAAGCTCGTACATGAGTTGAGTTTGTTTGATATGAAGTTCTCTCCTAAGCTGCGAGGGTTTTTCTCTTGGTTTTCCATTTTTACTCCCTCCTTAAAACACAACATGTGAGTTAAAAGTTGTGTGTATAGAATATTCTGTGTTTTCATATTAGACTGAATCTCGAGTCAGGGACCATGAAGAGGATGGGGCTAGGGGTTGTAGCCACATTTTTTGCTAACATTCACCACTAATCTTCTGTATTTTCCATTCTACTGTAAGTATCCCTTAAAATTTGGGGTGCCCCCCCCCCCCCCCAACCAAGGTATTTTAATTAATGTTTATACCTGATGGCAGAGCTGGATCTTGGATTGAAATGCTTTGGATATCCTCAATAAGAAGACCATTATGAGAAGTATCAGTTGTACTCTCATCTTTCCCCAGCTTCTCCTCTGTAAAAATCACAAATTAAACATTGCATGAATAGATTTAATTTACTTGTGTTTTTCATACAGGTAATTGAAACTGATATTTTTGAACACTCATTTTGAATGAAATCTCATGACCATCTTCATCAGTGATCATCACCATCATTGTAATCATTACATGTGATCATCAAATTTATCATGATCACCATCATCTTCATCACACCCAAAATTATAATTATCATCATAATGATCACCATTGGACATCACCATCACCACTACCATTATTATCATCCTCATCACCACCATTACCATCCTCAACATCATCATCACTATCATCACCGTCACCATCATCATCATTCTCAACATCATCATTACTATCATCACCATCATCATCATCACTATCACCATCATCAGTATCATCACTATCACCACCATCATCATCATCATTGTTGTTGTCATCGCCAGCAAAACACTGTCTAGTTATCATTATTGTATACTACCATTTGGACACAAGCTTATCATTACCATTGTCAGCATGTGACTGTTCTGTTGTAGCCACTTCTGCTTTAGCCTCAGCATCAAATTTAGGCGTTTCTTCTGTTTCACCTTTCATTTCTTTACCACCATCTTGAATTTCTTCATCGTTTTCCAGCATTTCTTTGTTGGAATCAACTTGTTCATTAATTTGTGGTAGAAGTGTTTTACTACCATGAGCCCTGTAATGAATATAAAGTATAGTTATCTCTGTTCCAATATAAATTTGTTGTAAAGGGGAAATAAGGTAAGGGGAAGTTAAAGTGCTTATGAGCCTTAATTTGCACAATATTTTCAGAATTGTTTTATTAGATAGTGAATAGTTGATTGTGAAAATATTTCGTCATTTGAATGTCGGGTCTTTAAGATACGAAGGTTTATATTCCCAATATGTTAATGACTATGACGTAACATAAGGGATCATTTAATATACAACACTGCACTTGTTCTGGATTACAGTATTTTAAAAGCACCACCCTTTTACTCGTGACTCACGTAAAGGTTCTTACAAATTCGTTTTCAAAAAATGTCCAGCGTTCAATATTAAAAGTTGCCACAAAATAACTCAAATCCCTTATGTTACGTCATAGTCATTAACATATTGGAAATATAAACCTTTGTATCTCAAAGACCTGACATTCAAATGACGAATTATTTTCACACAATCAACTATTCACTATTTAAAGAATCGATTCTGAAAATATTGTGTAAAGGCTTATAAGCGCTTTAAGGTAAGGCGACTAGGGATAATGGAGAATCCCCTCCCTTTTCTTACCTCAATCATCCCTCTGCATTGCTACACAGAGTAGGAAACATTAATGCCAAAAAAAATCTGACATGACATCATTCTTAATGGTATGCAAAGAGTATAATTTTTTTCTAATATCTATTAGCTTTGGTCTTTGTATCACAGGGTTCAACAATCACAACAGAGCTTAAGGCTTCAATCAGGTTAGATGAAAGCCCAAAGATCACATTTGAATTCAGAAGTTAATTTTTAAGGGAGGAAAACTGGAGAACCTGGAGAAAATCCTTCGAAGCACAGGAGAGAACTGACCACCAACTCTATATATACTCACATGTAATGGTACACTCACCCAGGGATTGCGAACCCCTGACCACACATTAACAGAACACTGTTGACCATACATACCAGAGGCAGTCAGTAAACACATGGAGAATATTGACTCCTTTCCCTCTCATCCCATCCTCATAAAGATCCTTCCTGGATACTGTAGTTAGACCTACAGCTACTGGTGCACTAGGAACAAATATTAATGTTAGTTATGATTTCAGAACAGATTTTAGTGAATGTTGGACAAAGATGTTAAAAATTCGCTGAACTTACTTATTTCCTTTGAGTTTAACACAGCAAATTGTATTTTTCTCAAAGCGCTCTATACTGTCCAGCCCCCCAGGAGGTAGAATGATTCCAGGCAACATCAAGTCTGTTTGGAAGGTTAAAAAAGAACCACACTTAAGGAGGCTTCCACCTTTTTTCTTTTTGTGCTCAGACAGCCGATTTTTGATTCCTGTAGCTCTTTTATGGAAACACCCACAATTTTGAAGTTTCACCCACTTACTGTATGAAGATGAAAGTTTGAAATGATGTACATTTTATTGGCATCGGAGTAAAGCAGTCCACTCTTGCCACACAGTTGCACACACCTTTCTATTATGAACACCTTTCTATTGCAGACATGCAGGAGCAAAATCTTCAGCAAAAATAACCATGACAGAGAAGTGACTAAAAAAATTTCTTACTTTTGAGGAAACAAAGTGAAAATCCTGAGGGTGTCTGCTGTAATGAGATTTGAGATTTGGGGAAACCTATGTGAGCGGTACTGTAGGGCTGTTATCTAACAACCCATTGCAAAGTTTGTTCCACCCATACAGGTAACATCAGCAACTGTACTCTGTTCTCTAAATAAAACATACACAGTTCTTAACCAATCAGAGCATGCATACTCTCTAAGCTACATAATAAAAAGAGATAACTAGCTTAAAATAGTGTGAGCTGCGTCCGTGTTTCTAATGAAACAGTTATGATAAAGAGGTAAATTATACACCATGAAAAGATGAAAAAACTTACTGATGTTTCCAATGAAGGACCAGCGACTAGTTTTTTCATCTTTTCACGGTGTATAATTTCCCTTTTTATCATTACTGTAAGCAATATGATAGTCTAAGGGTACCTGCTCCTCCACTGAGATTTTCCAGTACCAGTGGCCAAGTAGTGAAGCTGAGAAGCATGTCAGGATACTTCCACAGTGTATAAACTATAAGTATATATTTCAATAAAATAATTTATAAGTGATATGTCTTCTGTACTATAGTTATATATCACCCATCTTTTCCTTATGAATAATGAGCAAGGAAGGGAATGTTGAAGAATAGTATAGTAGTACTGTACTCAGGGATGTAGTGAGGTCCCAATCATGGGGGGGGGGGGGGGGCAATGTAACAATTTCCCGCCTAATCCATAGGAATCCCACATGAATTAATTAAATTTTGGTGCAGAAAGCAAACTTTTTGGGGGGGCACATGCCCCCTATCCCCCCCCTGCTTAGTGACTGTACTTCCCTCTCATGGGATCTAAGGTTTGATTCCTTGACTCAGCATCACATGTGCATGAGTTCGTTAGTTCTTCTCTCTTGTAATTTGAGGGCTTTTTTCTGGGTTTTCTGGTTTTCCTTATCCAATTCTATATGTGAGTTAGCCATGCCCTGACTCTGATTCAGAATATTGATAAAATTTAGAGAATTATAAAAACAATCTGAAATGTTTATATAATTTTTACCTGTTGGGAATATTCTCTTCTCCACTTCAAAGAAAACTGGTTCACCAGAAACACTATAAAATGTTACGGTATCTCCAGAATGTGTGGATATCTTAGTGATGGTCATCTCTTCTTTGTTTGGGATCAGCACAGACAGCTCCTCTGCGTCAAGTTTTGGGAATGAGGCTTGCACCTGCGCCCTTAGTTTCCGTCTTTCGAACGGAAATATAAATAAAAAGATATTATGAAAGAAAGAAAGAAAGAAAGAAAGAAAGAATGGATGGATGGATGGATGGGTGGGTGGAGGGTGGGAGGAAGAGAGGGAGGGAGAGAAGGAGGGAGGGAGGGATGAATAAATGAATGAACAAATGAATATACATGTACAATATGATAAACATAAATTAACTTAATTAATTAACTTAATACATTAACATAAATTAAATTTCCTAAGGGGATGGGGGGGGGGGGGCACATGGGTAAGAAATCGTTGATTCTTGGTTTCAAAGCCCTACCCCCACCTCCCTCCCCCTTACACACACTTACAAAGCCAAAAAAAATTTCATTCATTCATTCAGGGTACGTGTTCAGGACATAAAATTCCCCTTCTGATAAACAATGAACAGTGACTAGAGTTAAATTACGCTAAATAAATTAATGAAGAAAATTTCGAAGCTACTAATCCCGGGTACTAATTCAGATATCTAACAAATATGAAAAAATGTAAGCTTACTTGAAAAAGATACAACTAGCAAACAGACATTTTGAGCTAAAAACTGTGATAAAACCAAGAGGAATAGAAGCTTATCGAACTTACTTACCTGTCTGATCCACGGATTGCAGTACTGGTTTTGATTTTAAACGCCTTTATAAACATATTTGTTTAAATAAAATAGATTCAAAGATTTTCATTCCTTCGTTCTAAATAAATTTTGGCCATTTTTATTAATTGTCGAGTGGGACTGGAACATTAGAACTTAGTCTCTTCCACTGCCAACCTTTTGGGCTTCCTGTGGATTTTTTCTCTCCTTTTTTTTGTGGAAAAAACGATTTTGAAAACATGAAGTTCTTATTCTAAGAAGTTGATTTTTGCAGAGGGAGGAAAACTGGAAAACTTGGAGAAAAAACCTCATAAAGTTGTAGTAGTTCTGGTAGCACGTATAGGGAAAGCGATTCTTCAGGCTGAGATTGTGATTGTAAATGAATTTTTGTAAGCCAGTAATTACTGGGTGTTGTTAAAGTTTTGATGTCGTAACCCAGTAGTTACTGTGATTGTAAATGAATTTTTGTAAGCCAGTAATTGCTGGGTGTTATAAAAGTGATGTAGTAACCCAGTAGTTACTGTGATTGTAAATATTTGTAAGCCAGTAACAGGGCTGTCAACTCTCCCGGATAAACCGGGAGTCTCCAGATTTTGGACCGTATCTCCTGGTCTCCAGATTAGAGTCTCAAATCTCCCGGATAATCGCCGAAGCTCACCATTTCTTGTGAGATTCGACTTTCACAGTGTTATTTTACATCGCTAACAAAATGAAAACATTCCTGATAAACTGTTCTTGCAAGCAGGCCATTGTAATATAAGCAATAATCTGATTGGTCAGAAATAAACCAATCACATCAAATGTTACAAAGTGAATGACGTCTTTTCATGTCCCTTCCCTATCAATTCTCCAGATTTGAATATATTGGGGGTTGACAGCCCTGCAGTAATTGCTGGGTGTTATAAAAGTGATGTTGTAACCCAGTAGTTACTGTGATTGTAAAGAAATATTTGTAAGCCAGTAACTACTGGTGCTGTAAAAGTGATAACCTGGTAGATACTGCCCAAGAAGGGGGGGGGGGGGTACTCTTGCCCATTTAGGGTAGGGATGTGCCGCTGAGCCCACTGAACCCTGACCCTGTTCCACAGTAAAATCGCTGAAATTCATATCCTGTTCCAGCCATGCCCTGGCTTAGATCAGTCAGGTCTGATAAAAGTTGAAGGTTTTTTTGGGAAGAGTGACCAGTGATGAACACGAGTTATTTATCATAATGTGCTTTAATCAAATAGTATTTACACAAAGTCCTTTCTGTTTCAAGTGTATTCTCTGAACGAGATTCAATAATTTGAAAAGGGTTTTTATATTGAAGGCTGTCAGAAAGAATATCCATTATGGCATCAACTATACTCTTACATAAGTAGCATTAAAAAAGATCAAGCACCATCAACAACTATCATCATATCACAATTATATCATAACAAAATAAGTTTAAAATGCTTTTTTCATTACCATCTTTATGTTCCACCAGTGTCAACCTTGGCTATTTTAGTAGCAGTATAAAATAACTGTTTTATTTTCAATTGTTTTAGAAAATGTCACAGTGAGCATTATAAGATATTTTGGTTGAGTGACCACTAACAAATTGGCAGAATAGAGACCATCTTTTGAAGCAAAATGAATAATATTACAATGATACAGCTAAAAATAACAGCCGTTCAATGACTGGTCACATTTGACTGAACAACATTTGACAATGGAATTGGTCATGAGGATCAGCCTAAGAGGCATTTGCCAATTAATTTGACAAGTGCCAGTTTTGGCCAGATAACATTCTCTCTTGACCTATTTTTGAGCCCTGTTACTGTTTCTGTTGTTTACCTTACGGTATTGATTTTAATTTTTTTTAGTATGTGATCTCTGAACCAGAATATTAAAGTGGGATATTCAATTCCCCTATTTCACTATGACATCACATCAAAACAATCTATTGTTTAAACGCAAAGGATCATGGTTGTCGGAGGGGGTCAAATCTAAAACCCGTATCAATCCACGAAGAGAAGTAGAATAGCCAGCAAACGCTCAGAAGTACACATTAACACATATTATACCTAAAGACCAGGCCATTTTAGATTAAACTGTTTCGCTAGGAGCAAATTTTGTTAAATGTTCTATTGGATTTGGCGATTCTATCCCCCACATAAACAAGCAGTGACATCATAGTGAAATAGGGCAATTAGCCTAATTCAGCAAATCGATCACATTGTGAAAAAAATCGATCACATTGTGAAAAAAATCAACCCCATCCTAGAACTGCAACCAGGGGCTAAAAATAATTAATACAGTGCATGGTCAATGGTGAATGTCTGGCCAATACTGGCACTTTTCGATCTAAATGCCTCTTAGGCAGTCCTCATGACTTGTCCCTTTGACTCATCACATGTTGATCAGTTTGACCCTTATGTCACCTGTTATGTCCTGCCACTGAGCAGCAATTATTTTCAACTCTCTTCCCACATCATTCTCTTTACATGTATACAACTTCTCCCCAGTATTTTGTAGCTCAATCTTCCCATTTGATATTAAATCTTGTTACTCTCGGTTCAGACACAAGTATATTTCTTTGAAGCTGTAAATAAAAAGCAAATACGGTTACTTAAAAATGAAGAAGCTTGTAGATAGAGTTTTTCATTACAGACCTCTTGTTATTCCCTAGAGTATCATTTCTTTGTTTAACAGGCAGGGTTTAAGATAACCGCTGGACATTGGACATTGGAGCCTTGGCTTGTTACTTGAGGCTCTTGGTGCGACAAGGATCTTCGAAATAGGTGTATGTATTATATTTTAGGTTTGACCATTCCCTCCTCTCCCTCCCTAACTCTCTAAGAACCAGAATAGTAAATAATAGTGGAACACAAACCTGCGAAATGACTGGCTTTGCTGGTGGGTTCTCTCTCATTTCTACATCTGCATAATCATTATTTACATAATAACCAACCCGAATGAATTCTCTGTCTTTATACGAACATGTTAATAGTATAACAGTGACGCCGATGACGTCTTGATCCAGAATTTTGCTGGGATCTGGTGGGTTGGCCTGTATATAGACAATTGTGGGTTTAGACTTAAGTTCTATCTCACATTACATACAACTAGGTAACCAAAGGCAGATGCTTGCATTTCATCTCTGGGGTGAAAAAATGAAAACATTTTTGTGAAAAAAAACATACTGTACAATATATAGCATACATCTAGTTTGAAATTTCGGAGGTTCAATTATTAAAGTTATCGATGTAAGGATTCATTAACCTTGAACATTGCGAGCTCATGCAGTGGATTTTCAATCTCCCTAAAACTATTAACAAATATGGGGATATAGATTATCAAATTACCTTAAATACAAACATATGCCTGCCAATTGGAACAGGTCCAACGAGAACAGAATCTAGCACTTGATCATAATCAGCACACTCAGCTGACCCTACGTAGATGATCTTCCATTCAAGATCTACAAGTTGAAGAGCAATGTGAACCATCAAACAAAAATTTTAGGGCTAAAAATTCTTTCGTTATTAGCATTGCTTTGATTAATTTCTTGAGATACAAGTACAGTACATTATGCAGTAATCACCACTACCAGCATCTTAATTATCATCATTTTATTATTATTATCATCACCATTAACATAGCAATACTTCATGTGATGTAAGCTTTTGTTATTCATGCACCAACCAGTGATTGGCTGGTGACAGAAAGCAACTTGGGACAAGATCTTGTGAAAATGCTTGGCATATTAACAACATCAACGCCATATCATTTTCATAACTATTATCATTATCATCATCATCAACTTAGCCATCATTGTCATCACCATCATAATCCATCACGAATGTAGGTTAGTCCTTGCTCCAGAAGACTAGTGCAATAAACATACATTTTTTCCAAATCAGACTTTTACAAAATACTCTATATAAAACGTACTCTGTTAAAGTACTCTTCCTAGAGATAGAAAAGCTTGTACTAAGATTTGAAAAGCGTGCACATTTGTACCTATTAAAGATTATGTACAATTGTACAAAAACATGGCTTGATCAAACTATAAGCAAAACACAAGATATAAAAACACTCTAATGGCACTTTCAGTGATGATCGATCTAGAAGACGCGACATTTAATTAAATTTAAATAAATACAAGCTACAGTGTGCGAACTGAAGAAAGCCATTACTAGGAAATATTATGACGTATATTCAAATTCTCGTAAAAAACCCTCTATAATGCTACCAAAAACAGTTTTAAATCTAACTTTGCAGCTTTCATACTAAAACAGCATGACAATATTATAAAAATATAGAAGGAATGTGAAATAATTTTACGATTTTTTTCATTTTACCTTCGTTTAATTCCTCAGAGCATTCGAAGGAAATTTCAAACTCCAGAGGGTCGATAAAAGATGCCGGATTTTCTTTGATTTCCACATTACATAAATTTACTTTGGCCATCCCAAGAATAGCAAAAATGTGTAGAATGTTCTGGTGTATAAGTTGTAGAATTATTCTCTTATTTTGCAATCAGGAGGAATATTTTTTTAGTTCATGTCCAGAGATCGAAGGAACAGCAAAATGGCGCGAAAACTTGAAAGAAAAAATAGAGAATGCGCATGCGCTGGGTCCAGTTTATAGCGGATTCAAAGACACAGGGCACCCACCACTATATCAGTAGAAACATATCACTGCTTGCTCTCGCTTCAGCCACCCCTTCCCTTCCATCACCACCTACTACGAAGTATTTCTGGTTTGTCAGTATAGACCCATACCCTTTTTATCCTTTATCTGAAGTTGAGTTTTTTTTTAAAGCGAAGCGAGAAAAAGATAAATGAATGAAGGTATGGATGAATGAACGAACAAGAGCAAAAGAATGGAGGGATAGATGGAAGGATGGATGGGTGGATGGAGGGAGAGAGGGAGGGAGGGAGGGA